GGGAGGGATGGCGGGTGAGTGAGGGGGTGCGGGGCGGGGGGCAAATGTCGGCGGTGGGGCGGGTGGGAGACCGATGGCAAGGAAGCGGATTAACGAAGGGACTCGCAGGGGGAGATGCTGTGCGGCGCGATGGTGGCGGGTTTAGTATCTGCATTGTTCTGCGGGCCTCGGGAAGGCTCTTGGCTCACTGGTTGCATTTTTTTATGGTGATTTTTATTTAATGAGGTAAACTGGGATAAGGGGCTTAAGCTCAGATTGTAGACCGGTTTTTAGAACGAAAACGGAACCCTAAAGCCCTACATGCAGATGCAAAGCTGAGGAGTACCCTGAAGTATGCAGGAGGGTGACGGGATCTTTAATATGTTCAGAATCCACCCACTGGTCAGGAAATAAAATCTATTGTGTCATTTCTCTTTAATTAAAACAGAGGTTGTTGTTTTAGAGCCGCAAGTATGCAGAGGCAATGTTTATCTAATAGAAATTTGGCTTGTGTTAAAATAAGCCTTTTGAATTAAAACACGTCTGTCCGTATCCAGCGTGCTCTACTATATCGTGTAGTTCCTGTGGTCTTACGGTTTCTGCCCGGGACTAGCAGGCCTTGAAATATGTCTGCACCACTCTCTGGTGTGTGGATGAGCGGGGATGTTCCAAGTGGATTTTTGTCTTCCGTCATGTATGTGAAAGTAGTGATTTACACTGGCGCAGTAAACTGCCTTTTCCATGAGGTAAGGAGAGTTGAAAGGAAAAATCGGAATACATTTTAGTGCTTCTTATATGCATATGCTATTTCCTGCAGCTTGTCTTCTGGGTGTGGAGAAAGGTGTTGGGATCCTTAACTGGCGTTTGGGAAGGGAGTGGTGTGGACAGATGCAGCTCTCCCAGTAATAACGTTCTGTCTCCTTTTGGTCTGATCTTGGTTTATGGAAGTGCATATTGTGACTGTTTCAAGACTCACAAAGAAGATAAAATAGGGGATGGATAGCTTGCCTTTGTTTAATTTTATGCGTGTTTAAGTATATTTACTTAATGATATACATTCGCTTCAGGAGAGGTACTTGGCATATTTGACTTGTTACTCAGGTCCAAGTTGTTTCTGTATTTTCCTGATTTTTCTTACAGTAGTGCTAGAGGCTTCTCCCAAGTTTTTAAAAAATGTATGAAATTCACTGAGTGAGACCAATGTGTATTACCCAGAGGAGTTTGGAGATCCACTTCTGCGATCAGTAATTCAGAGCTTGTACTGCTTTGCAAGGTCCTCCCACTGGTAATGTGAAGCATAGGGGTGGGTGGTGGTAGATTGGGGTCCAACAGTGCCATCGCTTTGGACCAAATGGTATGCGGTGACTTGAGGGAGAGGAGGGGAAAAGCCAACCTGTAGAAGGCATTGGGGAAAACTGTCGAGTGCCTGTATGAAAGGTTTTTGCATTCATCATCATCAGTGCAAACCAAGAGTTCTGACATGCTTGTGAAGGTGTAAGCATGATGTACTAGAGACCAAAAGGGGTAATGAAACCAGTACAGAAGTTGTTACTCTGCACAGATTTTTGGTCTTTTGCTTTGTCAGCCGCTGTCATATGTTTGACTGAAAGTGCATGTGCATGTGCAGCTGTTTGGATTAACACTTCAGGATCTCATCTTGTAAAACGCAGTATAGTGGTCAATCACTGTTGGAGTCATGAGATTGGGTGGAGATTCAAGTTTCAATGTATAAACAAATTGTGAGGAAATTTTTTTTTATTAGTGGGTTTATTTTAGGTATCTGACAGCACTTTTGTTTTTTTTAGTCACTCTCACTGCTTCCCCAGCATAGGCAGTTGCTCGGTTATTAAGTTTGTGTTATTTGTGTGGGTCATTCACATGGTTATGAGACAGACAAAACCATTTCAGAATAGAAAAATAGTCAGCAAAAACAATGAGGCTGGTAGCACAAAAACCACCTGAAATTGGTTAAAGTCATCTTTCTTTAAAAAAAGTGAATAGACCTTTACTGTCCCATTACATGTCTTTCCCCCTCAAACCTTGAATTACTAGTGTTGATTAATTTTATTTTATGTAAACATAGGCAAATGTGTTTGGTTTGGGTTTTTTCTTTCTTTTTTTTTTTTTTTCCCCCAGAAGCGCCAACTTCTCAGTCCCACTTCGTAAAGCACTGCGGGACTTAAAAGCCTAAGAGGCTTAAAGGCTTTTCAGTATGGGACTGAGGCATATCTTTTGGCTCATAAGGAGAGTACTAGCGCAGTTTAAGCTGAGCCACATTAATTGAGTGTGCATGTTCTCCAGACTTGTTGCCAGCACAAAGTGAAAGGTACTACTGACTCAGAAGGTTTTAAGGCACAAATAAGCATATCTGTGCCTGATTCTTTTCTTATATTTGTTTAAAAATAAGACAGACAGACATACAAATGCACGTATGTAGCAAATATAAGGGGAAAAAAAAAATCACATTTTTGGATCAGAAGAGAAGGTTTTTTCCCCCTTATCTTCTGAAAGATACAGTACTTCCTTGTGAAGTGGGGTAATTTCCTCCTGTTACTGTGTGACACACACAGTGTGCTTGGTATGCCCTCTTAGTGTATTAATAATGATATCTTTTTACTTTTCATGGGATTAAAGAATTTAAAATACTAAGTAATTTATGGGAAACTTTTACTGCGTGGTAAGATTATTTTTAATTAGTATTAGTTTAAAAATAAACTCTCTGTGATTAAACGTTAAAATACCACTTTTAGGTACTTTATTGTACATAATTGCTTTATTTTGGGGACAGATTAGAACAGGACAAAGTATTTTTTTCTGTTGTAATTCTGAAAAGCCAGAATTCAGAAATACACACTGAAGCATATTACATGGTAGTAGTTCGGCTAGCACAGCTTAGCTGTAATGTTTTAAGGCACTTTGGAACAAATTCAGTCTTCCACTGAATTTGGTTTTAATGTCATGTATTTTCCAAATTCTTCTGGATTTCATTACTGCTGAACACTTTGAAAACCCTATGATTGTTCTCCAGAGCTTACAGTTGTTAATATTCATCCATTGTTTGCCGTTAGCTGTAAAAACACTTACATTGTTTTTATAATTGGAAAAAAAGAGGTGTTTTTATGTTTTATATTGGTATATGCCAAACAAAATGTACGGTATTCCTCATGCCTGTATTTTAAGCATGTATGTACATATTTAGTGTTAAGTAGAAAGAGCCATGTGCTCTAGTTCTTATGTATATCATTTTGTCTGTTGTCCATGGAAATTTTGTATGGTCTCAGAAAGCAGCATTTGGGCCTGTGTGATAGATTGTAGCCACAAACCTTCAATCCTGGACATACTCTGCCTGCACACTCTATATATTTATATTAGACGCTATTTCCTCAGTGGGAAATGCCTTGACCATCTAAGAAAATAATCTGGCAGTATCGTGTTAGCTGGCTGACTATGCCTACACATCTATAAACCTTGGTCAAATAAAGTACTGGAGGTGTGTGACAGCATTTGCTGTTTTGTGGCATACTTGCTGGTATTGTGTCATGTGCAGAACATGGGTTTTTAAGGGCTAGGTGTTTCTTGTGTTTGAGATAGCAGATGTGTCGGTGAAGAGAGTTGCACAATGTGAGTGTCCTTTTTTTCTGTATGGGTTACCAAAGGAAACAGGTTGAAGATAAGCCATTTGAATTAGCGTGAATGGCAACCAGTCGTACGTGGAAAGATGCTTTTGAACATAAGGTGAATATCCAGCAAGCATGCAGGATATATATGCATTTGTTTTATTATACCTGTGTCAGCCAAATTAAAGATTTACATGCAGAACTTGGTGAATTAGCAAAGACTTAAACTTTCTGTAGGCAAGTTGAAGAGGAAGTGGGTCCATTAAGCCAACAGTGGAGTACACTGGTCTTATATAACTCTTTTTTCAGTTAGAGAAACAAGCAAGCTTCCTTATTTTTCCTGTAACTTGTATTTGTATTGGTCTGTCCTACTCACACTCAACACTTTCAAATAATTTTAGGTAGTTACCACAGTACATATTTAGAACTGTAAAATGAACAAATAGTTAATGTACATCTTGGTACGTGTTGTGACTAGATTGGTAAATATTTCATATTTAGTAGAAGCTGTTTCTAAGGAAATATAATTTCATTCTGGATGCAAAACACCTTGATGTATTCTTATATAGGTATATATGTCCATATATAAAAATACCTTTTGGGGTTGGTTTTTTGGTGTGGGGGGTTTTTTTGTTTTGGTTTTTTTTAAGAAAACACAAATCATCATCTGGCTGTCAGTGTGATAACATATGAAGAACATATATTTAGAATGTATTTAAGAATATATTTGTTTATTTTAGTGCATCACAAAGGGATATTTTGTTTGTAGCCATTTAAAAGGGTTTGTTGCTGTTTTGGTTTTACTTCTTTAGGAGTGATCCAAACCCACTGGAATTAATAGGAGCTAGGTGAGGGCCTGAATAGTCAAAGAATTCTGACTAATTTAAGTTTATTCATATGTCAAAGATCCAAGTGACCCCACATTTGTATTTTACATAGACAATATTGAATTAGTGCAGGAGGGAAAAGTATATGCTGAGCAGAAGAATCTCTTTAGAATGGACATTTGAGTGTATGCTGCAAAATTAAGAAATAATTCTGCTTTTTTAGCTGCTTCAAATTATTTTTGTTGGTGTATAATGGCAGCAGCAGTTTCATAGGGGAAAGCATTTCTTTTGAAATAATATGACAATCTCTGCAAAATTAATCCCAGGAAGGTGTGAAATAACGTTATAAGGTAGATGTGTGATTAATGGTAATTAGCTTTGTTGCAGTAATAGAATGCTATAAACACTGAGCATTTTTTCTTGCCCTGCTGAATGGTGTAAGACTTGGGAAGAGTCTGTTCTTGCACTCAAATGCTACTATGTA